CTGCAGGTGAGTCAGTTATCAAGATTTCAAATTGGACCTGGCTTTTAAGTGCAGTGAAGTGCAGATTTATTTCAAGCACTCATATATCGATGGAATTATCAGGAAAACTTGATGAGGGAATTTGTTTTTAGCTTTCTATTTCTAGTTTAAGTGCCAGTAGTTACACTGAGAAGTGTTGTACCAAATGCTGCTTTTGGGACCTCCTCTGCCTCTTTTGTGTTGGGCCTGTGGAGTACTTTGAGATGCTCCGAATAAGGTACACAGTGTAAGTGTGGAAAGGTAACAATGTCAGTGACGCTTCTGTTTTCGCAGCTGAGGACATACTAAAGATCAGGTTTGGCTGAGATTCAAGGCATTACTTGATGAGGCTGTGAGCCCCCTAGAGGGGGACCGTGACAAGGTGAACAGTTCGTAACAATAATAGTATAAAATAATAGTATTATAATATATCCTGTACATGTAAAATATATTATAAAGGATATAATTTCTCTGGCATCCTATTTTTCAGTTTATGTCTGATAGTGTGCTAAATAAAGTTAGGCTTTTAGAACCCGCAAACCAAATTAAGACGCAAGAATACTCTGAATGTGGTGGTAAATGAAAATCAACCAACTTGACAAAGTTGTATATGGAGATTGTGTGACCATGAGAATGTGAAAACTCAGGGGGTGTGTGTGTCACACATCGCTTTTGTGGATCCTTTTTGGAAACAGCATTGAAAGTGAGTGAGAGTGTAAAGTTCTATAGCCAAGCCAAGCAAGTTTAGCTGCTTGCTCTACCACTTCCTACCCTAGAGCACTGGAAGGACCATGCGTAACGGTCTATGTTTCGACTCTGCAGTGGGAATGGGATTATCCCATATATCATACGATTTTTCAAGAGTACACATTATTATATATAAAACATATATGGCTTGACCCCAGCTACCAGCTAAGTATTGGCTATAATTCCAACATTAGTCAATGTTGCAAAACCTCAAAATGAGAAGATTGCATATACTGAACTCCCCAGAAAGTCATATTCATTTCATTCCTTTGAAAACCTGTAGACAACTACCCAGGTTTTGAAGGCATTTAGTACTGTAATTGTTTTGGTGTATAGTATTATTGAAGGGTAATTGTTAATGATTCCAGGAACCAATTTGAGGGGCATGTGGCATAACTCCATGTGGCTTATTATGCTGGTGAAGAGCAAGGTCAGCATGAGAAATAGGTACATTTTTTTTTTCTCTGAATCTACTAGAGTTTTGACCTCTTGATTGTTATTTGTTGTAAAGCTTTTGTGGGTCAGTCTTTCTATTCTTGAAGATGATGTTGTCTGAGACCAGTACAGGTGGGCTCCAAAATAGTGGGCAGAGGGGGACATTTAGAGTGTCTGTTGTGAGTGTGACAGTCACATAAAAGAGGACTCAGCCTTTCTTCTCTGCTTCACTCTAACTATGGCTACCAGAAGGCTCCATTACCAAATCTTTACTAGTTTGATTCAGTCTTCACCACTCCATCATCCCTGTAAGTGTAAATACAAATAAGAAGCAAGATGAAAACCAGAAGTCCTCTCAGGATACTGTTAATAACTACACCAAAATGTCCCCAAAATCAACCGAGATCTGTTTCCTGAGCTAATTAGATATGTTCCTACAGATCAAAACACTAGCCGGAGAGATGGCTTAGTAGAGTAAGTGCTTCCCTGGCAAGCGCAAGGGCCTGAGTTCAATCCCTGGTTCCGCAAAAAAAAAAAACCACTAAGTCCAAATCTGTAACTTATCCATTATCTTCCCCATTCTTTTGGTGAAATTCAAGATATTTTTTTACTTAGATCACTTATGAAATTATGCATTATCAAATCTCAGAGTAAAATCATCCAGCCACCTCCTTCCCGTATGTAGTTATGGTTTTCTGATGCTTATTTCTTCCATCTTATCACGAGTATTCCAAGAAGAATTGGTGTCTGCAGCTCAGCATGAAAACAAGTAACTCCTTTCTTCAGGCTGAGTTGAATGCGGGAGATTTACTGGATCTGTCAGAATATAGCCGCCTCAGGTGTAAGACAAATGTCCCCTGTTCTCTTGCTCCATGTAGCACTAAGGTTCCTAGGGAAAAATATCTGTCTCCCAGTGGCCTGACCCCACTGCTGGCTATTTCTGAAGGAATTTTACCCTGGTGATAAGTAACATGAAAATCTTGCTTTTCTTTTCCTTCCTTCCTTTTTTTTTAAAAGGGTAATATTTAAAACATAGAAGTTTTAACTATGTGTTGTTATTTTTAAATTACTAGGTTGATTTAGACATAGTTGTCAAATCCCCACGCACTTTTGAAACCTCTGCTGCTCACTCGTAAAAGAAATAAGATGTGTGTGTTCATTTGGGAGAGTTATACTTTGTCGTGAGTGGCTGGAATGTCTCTCTGGACTCAACTTCTTGTTGCTTTGCCCTTTACCTAAGTAACTATGCTGAGAAAGTAAAAGGTCATGACTGCCGTACCCCTGGCACACCCAGAGCTTATGCACTGAAGCCAGCATTCAGTTGCACCTTGGCTCATTCTTTAACTGAATGAGAACCTTTCAATGTGTTGAATGCCCTAAATTAGCATACGAATTCAGGATTAGTTAGCAGAGGACCAAGTTGTGCTGTTTTAGAAGCAAAACCATCCTTTTTTTGTTTGTTTATTTTCCGGGGATCTGTGACATACCTCCCTCACTTTCTTGAGACTTTCATGCTGCTTTACCAGCATCTAAAACTGGTTCCTGCTAGGCACGGTGGCACGTACCTGTAATCCCAGTATCCCAGAGGCTGAAGCCCAGAGGATAGCTGTGATTTTGAGGCAAGCCTGGAATAATAGGAAGGCCCTGTTTCAAAAGGCAAAAATAAAAAGATATAGCAAAATTGGTTCCTGTTAAGTGTGGTGTGCAAATGAAACAAAATAATTGTTTTCATTCTCATATTTTTAAAGTTCAAGTAATTGGAGTATACTTTGCTGAATAAAACTTCTTTATTTAATGCAGCCTTACAAAATAATGTAGTTCTAAGCTTCTACCCTTTGGAAATAGGAGAATTCTTCATTTTTAGTTTGAGAGCACAACAAAAAGATATCAGAACTCAACAGTTCTTTGATTTTCCTATTTTCTTCATATCCAAGCTACCAAATAAATGCAGGCTCCTACTTTTTAGCTCAATGTTACATTAAATGCTGTTTCTGAAAAGCACATTGTACTCCAAACGCTAGGTTAAGTAATGGCATTACTTTGATCCAATCAGCATAACAAAATATATATTAGTATCTGCCTTTTAAGTGATTAAATTAAAACTTTGAGAGGTTAATTTTATGTAGAAAATGAGGCACCAAGATCTGATCAGTGCCCTCTTCGTAGGAGGCCACCCTCTGAATCACGTATATTAAAAACTGTAAAGTAAAGCAATGTTTGAGCTTCATCATTAAAAATTACCAATAGTACTATAAGTTTCCCTTCCCTTTTAATCCACACATGAGCAAATATGACAGGAAGTAATTTTTTCTTCTTTCCATAATATTCTAAACCACCATTGCAAAAATCTTCTAAAATAAAGACGATGGAGAAGAATCAGAAAAATGAGTAGAAGCTACAGCAGGGTCTGGGCTGTGGGGCAATCGGCATGGGAGGGCAGGCCTTTGGGAAGTTCGTTCTGCTTAAACCAAGTATTGGGTGAAAGGACCACAGCTGAAACTGTCACCAAAGGAGGCATTATGCTTCCAGAAAAATCTCAATGCAGAAGTACTTGCGGGCAGCTGTGGTAGCTGTGGAGTCCAGCACTAAGGGAAAAGGCTGAGAGATGCAACCAGTTAGTGTGAAAGCTGGACATACCAGTCTTCTTCTGTATGTGGAGGCACCAAAGTAGTTCTACTTGACAGGATAAGTTCTTATTTAGGAATGGTAACTATCTTGGAGAATATGTAGTGTGAAGTAAATCACTGTTGAAATGACATCACATAATGCTGCTCATTCCTCTGAAGTTCTGCAATCTTTCTTTATGTAAATAATTTCCATGTCTTTTTTTTTTAATAATACATTGATGATATCTAAACTCAAATATCTAAACTACAAGAGAACATGGTAGTTACCGTAATCCTTAGAGTAAAAGATGGGCACATCTCAAAGTTCAAGTGGAAATGAAATAGCTGCCCTGTTGAGAGATACACACACGTGCTGAATCGAATATCTTCTCGTACCAACATATTCCTTGAAAGAAGACAGGAGTCTGTTCATGTGCTGGATTTACTTTCTATGTATTTATGATCACCATCGCATTTCGCTGGTGCGTGTACTTCCAGTGCCATAGTGGTTGTCAGGCTAAGGGCTGTAAGAACTCGCTGTCCAGTAATGTAGTGTAACGATTATTTAGGAATGGTGACTATCACCATTTGGTCTTAGGAGACCCAACATGGGTTCTGTATCTTGATGTCTTCCTTGAAAAGCACTGAACATGGGGACCTGATTTAAGATTTTTCCATACCCTATATAATATGTGCGTGTGTGTGTGTGTGTGCGCGTGAGTGCACGCGCACAGAAGATTAAACATTGCTAAGTTCTTTGCAAGTTGAATGTCTAGCTATATATGATTGGGCAAAGAATGTTCCAGCAGCCTTCCATCTTGACTTCAGCTTATATAAACTTCCCATAATGATATAAACTTCACACAGAAAACTGTGATGCCATATTGGACAGCCATTTTGTTGAGGAAAATGAAAACCCTCACCCTCTTAAAAACAAAGTTATGCTGCCTTTGATCCTATTATTTCTTCAGTTCAAGGTTACATTTTCTGCCTCCCACAGACTAATGTCACTTCTCCATGTTGAGAACAAGAGCGGCATTTGGCATTTGGTTATCCCAAACCCAAATCTCTGACCCTTTGTTTTTAGTACTTTGCCATTTTGCTTTTGCTTTTTTAATTTGCTTGTGACTCTCTGCTGCCCCCATCTTTTTTTTTTTTTTTTGGTACAATGATTCTTACCTTGTCTTTCCCCAGTCCGTTTCTGACCTGGAGAGACGTACAGCATGTTATTGTCAGGACTTCCCGTGCGGGACATTTGAACGCTAATGACTGGAAAACCAATGCTGCTGGTTTTAAGGGTGAGAACTTCTTTCATATTCTGTCACAGGCAAAATATTTTTATTTTTCTCCCATTTTATGGAGAGCAAGAAATAGAACCCCCCTCAAACAAAACTTAAAATTTTGTGCTCACAGTTGAAGAGCTTACTCTTTTAGAAAATAAAAGGCAATTGATATTTTTTAAATTAAAACTAACATATAAGGCAAATTTTCTTGGCTTTCCAGACCACACGTCAAGTTTTTAAAAGATCAGCCAACTCCCAAGTATAGTCGGCCTATGGGACGAATAGTTTACTCTTCGCTGTCCTTAATTATCTGAGTGGTATCTATAAAAATGTATTTTAAACTTCCTCACCTTCTGTACTGATCACTTTGCTTAAATAATAACTGATATATATTATACTATAGCACTGTTAGGCCATGCATTCTCTAAATCAACTTCTATAAACAGAAAAACAGGCTTACTTCAAAGAGATATGTCTTTATATAAACTGCAAGTACTTACGAAGCTTTGTAATGTATGCTCCTTATGCAGTAATGCATAGCACAGAAAAAAATGCAAAATACTTTTCCCAAGGCTGATGCAGATTATATTTCCCTCCAGTGGTCTTTTTAACAGTAGCCATTTTGTTTATTGGCATAGATAATATATGTTGTAATAAAAGAAAATAATTATATGAAGCAGATATGTGAAAGGTTATTATATTTATTCAAGTTGCATATGGCTTAAATTATAACAAACATTACTGTTTATCATATCTATCAACTTAAGCTTACTCCCAAATAATTTTAGTATCATATAATTTTATAATATATATTTGAATATCATATCAATCATTTATATGTCTATATATTTATATTTCCCTCTAAATGAAAAACAGTGTTTCATAGCACAAGGAATATCTACTTATAATTTGTTAGTCTGGACCTCAGGCCATCAAGAGTATGCTGAATAATCCTGAACAAGTTATTTAAATTCTGAGGACCCTACTGTCCAAACTTAAATATTTGAGAAGCTGAATATTATCTATATTTTTTTGTCTTATATATGATCTTAATGTATAATGGAATGTATATTTTGAAAATTATTTGCAAGTAATTTATTATTGACCCATCCTTGCCCAGAACTGGTAAATATCTCAGACAACCAGCACTGCATAAATAACATCTTCACCCAAGTCTTCACATCACTTTTAGAAAAAGAACAGTATTCCTCTACTTCTGTTTCTTATCAAGCACTTCTTCCATGCCTATAAACTGTACAATATAGCAGAGTGTAAGGAATTGTAACCTAAAACATTGTGAATACTTGTTGAGATCTCAAGCCTGAATCAAGATACTCAACCTCAAAATTGCAATTATATGGGAAACATCAAACTTTCTTGAAGTTTGAGTTGTTCTGGAAAATCCAGAGTGTAACTTTCCATACACGTATGTCATGGGCATGACGTTCTGCGTGCTCCCAGCAACCCTGTATAAATCCCCAAGGCTGTTGGGGGAACAGCAGGCCACCACGTGACTTGGGCTGCCTCAAGTTAAAGCGAACTTCTCAGTGGAGGGTTCATAGACTGAGCACATTGACCTCCACGGAGCTGCGGAATCGACTGTAGCCCAAATAAGGGTCTTAGTTTTACTTACTCCTTTTTGGCAACTTCAAAAGAGCAAATGGTTCTAATAAAACGTGCAGCCCTTTTGAAAACCTCTGTTGGTTTTGGAGAGGGGAGAAACAGAGGAGCTAGACCAAATCGCGAAACCCAAACCTGTATGCAGAGGGAGGTGTAGGCTGCTTCTGGCAAGGAGGAAACAGGATCTTACTGTTGCACGTGGCAATATTTAGTGTAGTGTTTCCCCCTTACGTGGCTGCCAAGAGTAACAATTAAGGCTTGCCTTTTTATAGATGAATTGCTCTGAGCGGTTTGGCCTCCCTATGGAATTATTTTGTAATTTTGTTGATGGCAAGCCCCATATTTCATCTAAACATGATCATAATGAGATGATTTTTTTTAAGTTATTTTCTTCCCTACTCTGAGGATTACTATCCCCTCCCAAGAGTCCCACAAATAAAAGTGATTAGGGTGGAGCCTAGCAGAAGAAGCCACATGCTTAGGGAAAGCAGAGAATGCAGGTCACCATGACTAGAGAAAAATGGGCTGCTTTGTATGAAATATTAACTGGAAGAATAAAAAAAGAGCTAATGTTTAGAAGACGTTCATGCAACCAGAGCTCGGGAGGAGCTCTGTGTTCCTATCAAGTCAGTCGACTTTTGTGGTCCTTGCTCAGCAGGATTCCGTGGGCACACATCTCCCCCTAGACTGGAGGATGTAGTCATTGTCTATAAGCCAAAAGGGTGCCTGCAGCAGCCCCTCCTCCCACCCTCTCCCGTTCACATCACAGAGGTGTGCGGCTTGCCCACAGGTAGACTTCGTCCTTCCTCAGCTGTGTGTGTCGTGGCCGGAAACACAGAAGGGTTTCCCTCTTGCAGCAGTGATGGGCTTCTCGTGGACAGGTTCTTAGGAGAGGAGGATGGCCTCAGCCTTGCATCCTGATGCGGGAGGTCCGGAGAGCTTTCTCCTTCAGTTCCTGTGCTTTCAGAGCAGCCCTCTGTCAGGGACACCGGAGCGGAAGTAGCAGGCCGAAAAGGAAGCCTCAGAGCTGCAGACCACAGTCTGAATGACCATGCTCTTGCTGTTGCGATTTTTAACAATTTTAATTGAACTAAGATTATTCTGTCTTGCTGCTTCAATAATAAAAATAATCTCTTATACTATCATTCAATATCTTTTACTTCAGATTAGTTTCTCAGAATAAGTGTAATCCAATGAATTATACCTGAATATGCAAGTTAGGGTTATATGGGAATGTAGGGACATCAGTGCTTTCCCTTTTTGTCTAAGTATTTGTGTTCAGATTATATGACTGTATACAATTAAACTCTCTTATATCTGGGAACAAGTATGCACATCAGGTAATAAATTAGGACCTTCTGTCATCTTTACTAGGCAAAAGAAGGAAAAAGTCATTGCAAATCACAAATTGACAACTAAGTGGGGGTTAACCATGCCCTTCGTTCCTCTGCTCCCTGTAAGCCTCCCTGGCCCGCAGCACACTGTTGGAGCCACCCCTCAACCTTCACTCTTTCTTTGACCACCACTACACTACTAGATTTCTTTTTTAAATCTAACTGATAACCCACCTGGAAAATATTTGAAAGTCTAACGTGACTTCTTAGCCTCTGAGGCCTTAACTTAATAACCTTTATTACCTTTAATTGCCAACTCTTTGTTTCCACTGGTAGGGCTGGTAATTTTAAGATGTTTAACATATATTTAATACCTCCCTCTGTTGCTTTCAGTTTGTAACACCTATTCAAAAGAAGTGTAGGTGCTGAAGCCTCTGAGCATGCTGTGCATTGAACCAAAATGAAAGATTTTTATTTTATTTTATTTTATTTTATTTTATTTTATTTTATTTTTAGTATATGAAGTGATTTCTAATGTCTTCCTGTTTGAAAGGGTAAAGTTTCATTTGATTGCATTATTTTGCTGTTCAAATAATATTCCAACTTAGCTGGTCAGTATGGGGGCACTCTAATGGTAGCTGTGAATAAAGGTATATAATACACCTTTACTGGTAATCTCTACATCATGTTATTCGTGAAAGATCACAATGAAATGTTATTCATGTGTCAATGTCACAGGTGGGATTGGAATCGTGTTTCACTCTAGGCTGAATCCATTTGCCAAAAAGAAAATGCAGAAGTTAGTATTTACAATAACCATGGCAAGTGAATACATTTCATTTTACCTAATAAAATTTGCTCTTTGAAATGCCACCTAGTTTTTCTAAGAATCTTTTTTCTGTACTCGTGAATGCATATTCACTTCATACTTACTAACTCAAAACCTTTCATCTTCATATTTATTGATCATTGCTTATGTGTGCCTATCTGCTAGCTCATCTACGTATAATTTAAAGATTTTACCATTATTCATTTGTCTGGTAGATTACTTACCTAAGCATCTACATGAGGATACAGAAACCCTGACATCAAATCCTGTTTAATTATTGCTGAATCTAAAGATGCACATCCACAATGTTCCCTCAGACTGTTTAATCCATGCCTACAAAATATTTAAGATTAAAATATTTTCTAAAAAAATTAAAGGTCTTGTTCTCTCCCTGTTAATCTTTCTCTGAATGGTAGCATTAGACTTGTCAGACTTTGGAAATTGCCACTTTGTTTTGATCTTGTGTCCCTGTAAATTTTAAATACACATGTAGTAGCTTCACCCTAGAATCCATCCCCAGGGCTGGGCTGCATCGCAGGAATACTGGACTTGCCTAGTGCACAAGGCCCTGGCTTCCATTCCCACCAAGACAAACAATAAATGAATAAAAGACAGTGCCAATAATAATCATCCATCCTGCAAATAGAGTTAAAACGGTGGTTTTGCTACTTGCTTTTTGTCACTATTACCAGATTTAATCATTGTTGAATAAAATTATGTTTGGAATAGTTTTGTGGTTTTAGTGCAATCTAAAGAACCTGGCTGCGTCAGCCAGGTGTGGTGGTGTGCACCTCTACTCCCTGGACTCGGAGGCTAAGCCAGTAGGGAGGAGGAGTTGAAGACCAGTCCAGTTTTATAGCGAGTTCCTGGCCTGAGCAACATAGTGGGCCTGTCTGGGGAGAGGGGAATCCTATTGGTATTCTCTGCAGGCTTTGAGGAAACCTGTTGAGTATCTTGTGCCTTGGTGTTTGCCAAATGTCTTTAATTAATACCAAACATAATGTGAAAGACTGAGTTAAGTGAAAAGTACCTTGGAAGTAGAAATAGCATGAAAAGAGTCTCAAAACTATGTTTTCATGTGTACATATTTGCTACACCTTAACATAAGAATAAAGGTATTGTACAATGTTATGAATAAGAATGTAGTTTGAAAGTTGAAAATTAGGCTGGGTGTGGTGGTGGACACCTGTAATCCCAGCCCTTGGGAGGCTGAGGCTGAAGGATTGCTGCAA